AATCTCCCAAATGAATGACTTGCACTAGGACCTTTCTCTCAGGGTCTGCTTCCAGAGAAATCTAAACCAAAACGAATTATTAGCTACTACTTTTTGCTAGGTTTTTTGCCTCTTGTTCACTGCTTGGGAATTGGAAAATGCCTTAGGGGTAAAAGCACTTCTAAATACCAGGTTCAGTTCTCTGCTCTTCTTTTCTCCTTGGATTCTTGACCCTTCAAGTCCTTACTGATTTGCTGGCTCTCTGATGCCTTCAATAGACTTTAAAAAAAATGTATGTAGCTGTTACAGTTGTCCTCAGTGGGAGAGTTGGTCCAACATAACTGATAGCAGAAATCAATTTCTTTCACAAATCCATGTGTGAATTGAAGAAACTTTAATGAGAACCAAGAGCAGTTACTGCCTTATTCCATGACATTTTAAAAACTCAAGAAACATTTTAAAAAATGTAATATCCAATTTTATAGAAGTGAAAAATAACCAAGCCAGGCTCAAGGCATTCTTACATTGTAACTCTTTCAATCACTTTTGATTCCTTGTTTCCTGCCACTCTCTGCATACATTGGGTAGTTTCTTTGTTCTTATTTTATGGGAATAAAATAGACATTTGGATTTGCTATTGTTTTCATCACATGTTCTGGGAGTAATTTCGTAGCTTTCAAGGATCATTCACTCATTCCTTCGAGGGTAAGGGAGCAAATATGAAACATTTACATTTCTCTCCATTTTCTACCAGTAAATACAGTTCAAGAAGGGCACAAAACGGAATTTTACATGGAAACAGAGGCGTTAAGAGAATGAAAAAGAGCTTGTTTTAAGAGTTTACCATTAAGACTCATTCTGTAGATTAATAGAGACATCACCAGTCTCCAGGGTTAGCAAGTCAACAATTTCATGTAAATTAAATTTACATAAGAATGTGGGGAAAACGAATAACATTTCAATCTTTGTTGGTAGCAGGTCAAAAAGCCACATCCCCGTTGAATTTGGAGCTGTGCTTTAGAGTGACTTTTACTGTGACCTCTTTTCCAGCTTTCAGTTTATTGACTTGCTTAAGGCTTCTCCATGAACCAATTGGTTTGTTATATTTGGTATAGTTTCAGTTCCATACATTAAGGAAGCTGTGCCTATGAGCTGAGTTGTAGATCTCATACACCATGTGCTTGTCATTTAATGAAGGCTGTGAAGTTTGAGTTTTTCCTGAAGAGTGACAAATCCTACCTAACGAATTGTCTTCCTATTAAGGAGCCAGGCACAGTGTTGGTATCATCTCATTTACTGGCGTAAGAAATGCCCCTTAACAATTGCTTGCATGTTGGAGAAAAATGAAAAGGAAGACAACTAATAACTTATTTATCACAAGGACAAGTCACAGTCTAAATGTTTATCTCATACTACCAAAAATGATTTTTAAAATATCATGCACAAATTTTCTCATCATGCCAATTAGATATAGGAAGACTTTTTTTCCTCTTCTGCCTGAGACAGAATGAACTTTGCTGATGTAATTTTCATTTTGTCTTCTATGAGATGCCACTCCAGGGTAAAGTAGTATGAAAATATTATTACTTCTCTGAAGTAGAGCATCTAAAATGCTGTAAGATTAGTATCTAATATGTAAAAGCAAGGCAAAGGGGGCTGGCTAGCCCATTGTCAAAAAATTCTATGTTCCCCTTTCTTGTATTTTTGTAAACATCCTACCTAATCCTGTTATTAATACTCTTGATCCAAACTTTATGATTCCTTGAGAAAAGAAGGGATGTATGGCAATTTTGATTATTGTTCTTATCCACCACTGAATTGTGTTTGCTTAACTGGCACACACAGCTTGAAACAACTTGAACTCTATAGCAGAATCCAAACCAAATGCTTTGAAACATGGCAAAGATATTTTCCAATTTTTTTTCTTGGTGGTGGGGTGGCCACCATCAAGGGAATCCAGTTTTAGCTAGCAGAGCCACCTGAAGAACTATGTTTATAACACTACAGATTGTGGCAACATTTGAAATTAGAAAATTCGGAATAGCTCTCATGCAGTTAATTAGAAATAAATATGAATGTTAGGAGGAGACACTACATTGGAACTCATTGGTGGAACTCATTGGTGGCATTTTTATTTGAGGGTTTTATTTTTGATAGACTTCTCGTCTGGGGACAAAATCATCAGTCAAGGATTCCCAATTTAGTTGGGGGCAAAACCTGAAGGGATGTATAATAAACCAGAGTCAACCTGCTTATAGGAAAAATAGGAATTTGTGGTGGTGTGAATTCATGATCTGGTCAGAATAGGTTTAAAAAAAATTTCCCCATATGGAGAACACAAATGTTAGTATTATTCCATTTGTATGTATTACATGAGATATTCCACATGTACCAGATGTTCCTTCTAAATATCAGGTAAAGTGTTAATAGACTTATCATTTATTTATTCGAAATATAAAGAAAGCTTATATGCTAAGAATATCTCTTAGTGGTTGATTTATACAGATTAAAAAATAAACAGTTTCCATTCAAAGAACTCTCTGAACACTGATAATTTCAACCTCTTAAGTCAAATACTTGTTTCATTATTTTTATATTTCATATTTTTCAAAATAAGTGCCAGATTTAGGTCCAGATATTTGTGATATGTTACATGTCTATGACTCTAATTACAAATACCATGTTACATATTTCTGTAAACTAATATTCAATATTTATTTTAAAAGAATACCAGAACAGAAAATCTAACATGCACTATCCTGAGTTCAAGATGGATTTTTGTTATTTTTATGGAGTGTGAATCTGGAAACAAGAGTCAATGTAACATATATTACTCAAATCCCAAATAAATATTAGGGCATAATTTTTTCACCCCTAACTTTTGTTAAATGCTTGCAATGTACTCTAAAAATATTATTGCCTTGCATTTCATGATTCTTTGGGGGTGCAGCTGTTGATCTTTTTATTTTACACAGAAGAAAATGGAAGTTTTGACAGTCTAAGGTCACTCAGCCAGCATGTGACAGGGTCTTAACTCAGCCTCTAAACCTTGATTCCCCTTGTTATCTTATGATCAAGAGGATTTGGAACTTGTGTGAGGATTTTCTTTTAAGTTTATGTGTTATACTTCATGCCGAATTATCATCAAGAAACATACCGTATTTTGCCTCAAACGCCCATAAAAAGCTCAATTTCATTTTGTATAGAGGTTATCCCATGCGTTGATATTGCCCCTGTATTTGGTTCCTGCCTGATTCTTCTGCGTTGAAGGGAAAATGAAATAAGGAAATGAGATGTCTGCTTGGTAAAAGTGATAAAGTGCTTTCGAGCATGTGGGATCAGAGGTGTATATTTTAATACTGTAATGTAGAGTCAATCACCTACCTCCCCCCCCACCCCCCCGAGGATGACAGGCATACATCAGAAAGATATGGGATTTTTCTGGGTTTTCCTGATTGGCCTAAAGCAATGAAGAGGAGGGGAAAAAATGACACAGGAACAAAAGAAAGGGAAGGAGGGGAGAAGTGGTATGACAGAGAGTGACTGGAGAGAAAGAAGGATGGGCAAAAAGGTGCATATGGAGAGGAATGGTTTTGAGACCCCAGAGTGTCTGTTGAATGTCTGGCAGGCACCCGTCTGTCAATAACACCCTTTTGCTCTGGTGAAGAGGGAGATAATTCATTGCCAGCTCCTTTTCTTCTACTTCTGTATTGCTCTCTGGGGTTGGGAGAGGTGAGCAATTTGTTGCAAATACATGATGAATTTCATTAAGAATTCACAACTGCTGTTAACATCACTGGAGATCTGAAAAATAGAAACCCAACATGCTCAGAACAGGTTTGACACACAGAGCAAAGATGTGAAATTTGCCAGAAATTAAAAGCTGTGCTTGTAAATTCAGGTCCTTTATGATTCATTTTTTTTTTTCTGAGCAGAACATGATTTTGTTGAAATAATGGCAGTTACATGTTTTATTAATGTGCTTTTTTAGGCAGGCTTCATAACATGATCTCATCATAAAGTCCTGGAAGGTAATGGATTTATCATTCAATGAGTTAATGCAGTAGAAAGGGCTTTGTAGCTTAGAAAGTGCCAGATAAATATTAGCCGTTGCAATCATGTTCCACATGGCATTTTGACATACAGATTTTTTTATTTTAAGTAAACTTTTCTTTTAGAACAGTTTAAGGTTTATAGAAAAATTGTAAAACAGTACAGAGATTTTCTACACATGCCATTTCTAGTTTTCCCCTATTATTAATACCTTCCATTGGTATGGTTCAATTATTATTATTATAAGTAATGAGCCAGTATTTATACATTATTTAAAGTCCAAATGTCATTAGTCATTACTGAATGTCCTTTTTCTGCTCCAGGATATGATCCAGGATCCCACGTTACATTGATTTCTCATGTTTCCTGTAGATCCTCTTGGTTGTGACAGTTCTGCAGACTTTCCTTGTTTTTGAAGACCTTGATCGTTCTGAGGACACTGTTCAGATATTATGTAGAAGGTCCCTCATTTGTGATTGCTCTGGTATTTTTCTTATGGTTAGACCGAGATTATGAATTTTGGGAGGATTATCATAGAAGTAAAGTGCTATTTATATCACATCATATCAAGGGGATATACTACATTAACATGACATCTCTCTTGATGTTGGTCACCTGCCTAAGGTAGTGTTTGCCAGTTTCTCCACTGTAAACTTAATGATCCGCCTGTCCTTCATTCCATACTATACTGTTTGGAAGAAAGTCACTGTGCATAGCCCACACTTAAGGAGTGGGAAGTTATACTCCACCTCCCTGAATGTACAGTATCTACATAAATTATTTGGAAATCTTTTTCTCAGGAGATTTCTTCCTCCTCCTTCATTTATTCAATCACGTCTTTATATCAGTATGGACTCATACAGGTAGTGCTTGACTTACGACCACGGTCAGGACCGCAGAACGGTCGTAACACGATTCGGTCTTAAGTTGAGTAGGCCATATGTACAGTTGAAATGGTGCACACGGAGATGGTAGTCCTGCCAGAAGCTGGTCTGCACTGTCGTATGCCCAGCTGGGCAATGTTTGCGCTGCCAGACACGGAGCAGTCGTGGCTAGCGATTGTGGTCGTAAAGTCGAATGGTCGTAAGTTGCATAGGTCATAAGTTGATCAATACCTGTATATTTTTTACTTTGTGTGATCATCCACTACAACTTTATTTTGTTGCTCAAACTATTACAGCTTTGGGAACAGTTTATGTTCCCTTTGATATACCTGCTTCTTTGTGTGTACAGTTTTTTTTTTGTTTGCTTGTTTTTTTAGTTTTATGGTTTTGTTTAGCACTTCTTTAGAACCTCTGCCTCCCGGGTTCAGGCAATTATCCGGCCTCAGCCTCCCGAGGATTACAGGTGTATGCTGCCACACCTGACTAATCTTTGTGTTTTTAGTAATGGTGGGGTTTCATCATGTTGGCCAGGCTGGTTTTGATTTCCTGATCTCAGGTGATCCACCCTCCTGGCCTCCCAAATTGCTGGGATTATAGGGGTGAGCCACTGTGCCCGGCCAGGTTTAGCACTTTTGAAAAGAGAAAGGGAAAAAAGAAAGGAAGGGTAGATGTTAGGGGGAACCTCACACTGTGGTGAAGCTCCAGGAAGGTCTCAACTAGGACATTGAGGAGACCCATAGCAATTATTGCCCTTTAGAGAAGATCTATGTAGGGCAGACATGGCCTGGCTCTGGTGTCCCCACTGTGCCTAGTCATCGGCTGAGAGTACTCGGAGTGTGACTCTGGTATAAACCCTATAGTGGTTTCAAGGTGCAGGAGTTGGTGGCTGTGCCAGGGAACTAAAAGCCAACGATTTCCAAGTTCATTACAATTCTCTATCATTCTGTTGTCTGTTATGTGCTGAATTGTGTCCCCCAAAATTCATATGTTGAAGCTCCAATTCTCCAGTGCCCTGGAATGCCATTGTATTTAGAAACAGGTTCTTTAAAGAGAGATCAAGTCATTAGAGTGGGTTCTAATTCAAACTGACTGGTGTCCTTATAAGAATAGAAGATCAGGACACAGACACACACACAGGGAAGATCACAGAAGGACACAGGGAGCAGATGGCCATCTACAAACCAATCAAAGAAGCCTCAGAAGAACAGACATTTTGATTGCAGACTTCTAGCCTCCAAAATTGTGAGAAAATGAATTTCTGTTGTTTAAGCCACCAGTCTGTGGTATTTTGAAGCCATTTAGCAAATGAACACAGAGTTCTCACATTTAAAAGTTTTTCGTTTAAAAAAGATGCATCACAGAAATATTTAAGTATTTACAGGTAAAATGCTATAATGTCTGGAATTTATTTTGACATATTCCAACTGAAGAAGAGAGGACAGATGATAAAAATGGCAAAATAATTACTATGAAAGCTGTGTTTGAGTGCATGAAAATTCACCATTGCATTCTCTCTACTTGAGTGTATAATTGAAAATTGACATAATAAATAGTTAAAAATTGTAACCAACTCATTATTATTAATTATTGATAAGTCAACTGTGCGTAGCTTGTCAGGATCTGTGTTTATTTTTGAAATGTTAAATTTAGAAAACCACAATAATAACAGCTAGCCACTGAAAGTCAGGAGTTCTACTACACACTTTACATAGCTATTTTATTGGTTTTGATAACCAGGCCAATAAATTAACTATTATTGGCCCTAGTTTACACAGCAAATAGCTTAGTTTGGACTTCAGCAATAGCATACTTTCTTCAAAATCAGTGTCATTCCACTATACTTTTCTATTATGCCCCTGACTTCCATATTAATAACTACTTTTATTGAATATTTACTATTTGTCAAACAGTTTTTTAGGTGTCATTTACCATGAGAGTATGTTGAGTTAAAAAAACCCACTATTTTTTATGCATCTATTAATATGGTCATATGGTTGTTTTAATTTATTCTGTTAATATGGTAAAATGCATTAATTGATTTTTAATAGCTTTATTTGGATATAATTGACCTATAATTAGCTGCACATATTTAAAATTCACAATTTATTAGATTTTAATATATGTATGCACCTGTGAAACAATCACAATAATGAAGATAATTATTATTTCTATCACCCCTAAAAGTTTCCTCATGCCCTTTTGAAATTCCTCCTTCCTGTTCTCTTCCCATCTCCACACCCACTCATCTGTTTTATGTTGCGGTAGATTAGTCCACATTTTTTAGAGGAAGGATCAGCAAACAACGGCCTGTTGGTCAAATCTGGCCCAACCACCTGCTTCTGTAAATGAAATTTTACTAGAACACAGCTACACTCATTTGTTTGCCTATCATCTATAATTGCTTTCACACTGGAACAGCAGAGTATAAATAAGACAGACACCATGAATTGCAGAGCCTAAAATAGTTACTATCTTTCCTTTTACCAAAAATGTTTGCCAACCACTGTTCTAGAACTTTATGTGAAGGAAGCATACTGTAAGTGCTCTTTGTTTTTGTATGACTCCTTTCACTTTCTGTGATTATTTCGATGTTCATCCATGTTGTATGTGTCAGTAGTTCACACTTTAAAATGCTCAGCAATATTTCATTGTAGGAATACACCCATATTTTGTCATCATCTACCTGTTGATCAATATTTGGTTGTTTTCAGTTTTAGGCTATTCACATAAAACTTATATAAGCAAGCATTTAAGTTGAGCCTTACTATGGATCAGTGCTTTCCTTCTCTGGGAAAAAACGAACCCAAAACACAGAAATAGAATGCCTGAATCATATAGTAGATATACATTTAACCCTCTAAGAAACTGCCAAACTTTTCCAAATTGATGTTATCATTTTATATTTCCAACAGTAGTATATTAGAGGTCCGGATCTCCATATTCTCCCAGTAATTGATATGGCGAGTCTTTTTTAGTTATTCTAACAGGCATGCAATGGTTTAATTTGGGTTATCCCAATGACTAACAATGTTGACTATAGTTTCATGGGATTATACATTTTTTCTGGTGATGTATCTAAAAATTTTGCCACTTTTTGGTTTTATTATTACTGATAATGAAGGTTCTTTATAGAACATGATGTAGATACAAATCCTTTATTAAGCCTATAGTTTGTAACTATTTTCTCCTTACAGGTGGCTTATCTTTTCATTTTCTTAATAGTATTATTCAATGAGCAAAAGTTCTGGTTTTCATGAATTACAATTTATCTTTGTACTTTTATGGATTATTCTTTTATGCTTATATGATACAGCTTTAGTTAATTTGGTGTGCATTGTGAGGCATGGATTGAAGTTTTAATTTTTCTTTATGTAGATAATTAAATTTTGTTATCTCCATTTGTTGAAAAGATGATATTTTTCAACTGAATTACTTTTTCACCTTTGTTATCAGTATTTTTATATATGTTTGGGTCTGCATTTGTGTGTCTTTTCTATTCAATTGATCTCTTTGTCTACCTGTATACTAAAGTGTATTGTCTTCTTGTAGCTTTATAATAAGTCTTCAATTCAGGTAGTGTTAACCCTCCAACTTTTTTCTTTTACAAAATTACTCTGGCTATTCTAGGTCTGTGGCATTTCCATATAATTTTCAGAATTAGCTAGTCAATTTGTATTAAAAAAACTATGGGATTTTTATTGGAATTTTTGTTAAATCTATAAATGTTTGGAGAGGAATTGAGCCTCAATAATATCAGGTTTTCTAATCCATAAACAGGATACATCTATCAAGTTACTTAGGTATTCTTTAATTTCTCTCAACAATATTTTGCAGCTTCTAGCATATAAGACTTGCACATGGAAAAGAAAAATCTTGGGGCCCCCAAATTACTAAGTTAAAGGGAAAAGTCAAGCTGGGAACTGAAAAACCTGCCATCCATTCTGTTCAGTCATCTCTCTGCTTTCTGAGATCGATGCATACTCTGATCGCCTCCTTTGGAAAAGCTTATCAGAAACTCAAAAGAATGCAACCATTTGTCTCTCATCTACCTGTGACCTGGAAGACCTGCTTTGAGTTGTCCCTGCCTTTCTGGATGAAACCAGTGTACTTCCTACATCTATTGATTGATGTCTCATATCTCCCTAAAATGTATAAAAAATCAAGCTGTGCCTGACCACCTAGGGCTCATGTCATCAGGATTTCCTGAGGCTGTGTCATGGGCAGGCAACCTTATCTTGGCAAAATAAAATTTCTAAATTAACTGAGAACTGTTTCAGATATTCAGGGTTCATAGACATCTTTTGTCATATTTATTTTCAAATGTTTCAAATTTAACATCAATGTTGGTTTAATTTCGATGTCCAGTTGTATGCTACTAGTTTATAGAAATACAATTCTTTTTTATATTGATCTTGCATCTTTTATCTTATTAAACTTATTTGGTTTTGGTTTTTATTTTTGTTTTTATAGGTAGTATTGGATTTTCTACATGACAACACTTTACCTGTAGCTAAAGACAGCTTTCAAATCTGGATGTTTTATTTGTTTTACTTGCCTATTTCACTGGCTTGACTGTTCGGTCAATGTTGAATAGAAGAGGTGGGAGCAGATGTTTTTGTTTTGTTCTTGATCTTAGGGATGGATCTCTTTTGTGTTTATCCTACTTAAAAATCTGTTAAACTTTGGGATGTGTATTAATGTTTTAAATCAGATTTAGGAAGCTTTTATTTCTTCAATATTTTTTCTTCCCCTTTCTCTGTTCTCCTTCTACTATTCCTATTATGCATATGTTGGTATGATTTATTGTGTCCCACGGGTCTCTGAGGCTTTGTGTTTTTCTTTTGCTCTTCAGAGACATAATTTCTAATGATATCTATTCAAGTTCACCAGTGCTTTCCTCTTACAGTTTAAACTGCTGTTGATACACTTTAATAATTTCTTAAAAATTTCATCTGTTGTAATGTACAGCTTCAGAGTTTCCATATCATTCTTTGTAAACCATTCCTCTCTGTCTCTCTCTCTTTTCTTTTTTTTTTTTTTGAGATGGAATCTCACCCTGATGCCCAGGCTGGAGTGCAGTGGCATGATCTCTGCTCACTGCAACCTTTGTCTCCCAGGCTCAAGCAATTCTCTGGCCTCAGCCTCTTGAGTAGCTGGAATTATAGGCATGTGCCACCATGCCTGGCTAATTTTTGTATT